ACATTATGATTTGTTTTGTACAAGAAGGTCCACCCAGCAAAACAACAACATCAATGAGCCACATCCTCTAGAATCATACGATGGCAGAATCGGACTGGTCGTCCAAGATACGTTACTTAATTGAGGATCGAAACGGGAACTATTATGAAGAATGACACCAATTGCACCACCACATTTTTTATAAAGAGACGAGAAGTTTCTTTCCCGCATCAAAATTTCATAAAATAATTAACATATGAAGACCATTCTGCATTCCAAGGCTACCTCGGTCCATAAGAAAGACTCGATCGGTCTTTCACCCTGCTCGTTTCATGCCATTCTTTGAATCAGACGTGAAACCTTGCGACAGTTCCGGCAGGGCTAACGCAGGGCTTGAAGTCGCTGAACATGGCCCCGAAGATCTCAACGTATGGGGGTGCTGTGTGAGCGCTTCAGTTGGATATGAAAAACGCTGCCATGCCAAGCTCCTCCTCACAGGCTCGCACAACTAGGAGAAAGGACTACATATTCTGTGAGATGGCCCAGGCTGAGCACATCGCATTGGCGGGTCTATAGAGTTACTCTATTTCGGAAAACGAGAAGAAGATCGAGTGCAGACCACACACCATAAGAGACGACGGCCAAGAGAAAAGCGGCTTTTTTCTTGGCCGTCGTCTCTTATGGTGTGTGGTCTGCACTCGATTTTCTTCTCGTCTTCCGAAATCGAAGGTATCGCCCAATACGATAACCACGGAAGACTGTGATAATCATTCAGAAATCGCTTCAAGGTGGCAGTAAATACCAGGAAAATGTTAAGTAATCACGAAAAAAGACCTTAGATTAAATTCGCTACCTAGCGAGACGTAGTGTGTAAGTACCATAAATGCAAAGTGATATGAAAAAGAACTACTGCTGTCGCATAAAATTATCAGTAATATGAACGAAATCCACGTGTTCATGAGGATATATTTTACAGTAATATCTTTAAAAGACTTAGTAAATTATTTTAAAATTCGAACTCACCTTATTACCAGATGTGTTGGAAGTTGAGATGTCCAGTGATAGGTTCACTCCAGCATCTGTGAAAGTCTGAAACACGTCACCGTCAGTCTACCTTGTTTGATTAATTCGTCTTGTTCAGTACAAAAAATTGGCTCTAATTAGGAATGAAGTCTCTAACTACCTTCATGTTTTCCCATATTGT